AGCTTGGTAGTGAATGGTTCAACAGAGTAGAAGAAGTCATTATTAGATTTGAGAGAGCCGCTACCACAAGTTGGAAAAAACAAACAAACATTCAGCTGATTTCTTACTGTAATAAATGTGATGGTCTATAGCTCTGTATGCACAACTCTTCTTAAGTTCAGAAATAATAGAAACATCCACTCTGCCCAGAATTGAAATCTGTGCCATAATCTCACCTGCGATCGCTCATCAGGGGAGAGCTTCAGTTCATGCATACATTTCAGAAAAGGACTGGGTATGTGTTAAGACTGTGCTGGAGAATTTCCAGTACTCTTTGAGTAACTTATCACTGGCCAGATTTTAAGTTAAGTTTTTAGGTTTTTCTAACCTTTATTACTGTGTATGAAATTTCATTGTGGCTTCTGAACTAAAAGAAACAAATAAAAAAACCAGGCTGCAATAAATCTCTGTCAGTTAGGTTATAAGCAAGTGAATTATTAAGCTTCCAGGTAATGTCTGCAGCCAGCCAGGTACATTTGTGTGGCTAGAATATAACTCTGCTGATTTTGAGATTCTACAACAGAACTTAATCCTTACCACAGTTAAATGATCTATGAAAGAGATTTTCCTAGCAATTCACTGTCTTCCTCTTTCCACATCTGTTGTCTCCACTACAGTGGTAAAAACAACAACAACAACAACAAAAACCCTTAGTGTTTTTTATCTCCTTCTGGTGCTCATATCCTTTTGTAATCTGTCTGAACTCACAGCGTAAATTCTTGTTTCTTTATGAGGACCATTTGTGGAATAGTTTTAGGAAAGAAAAGCAAATGCATTCCAAAGGTGTATTTCAATCTGGTATGTATTTGACTGGGATAAGATAACTCCGACTCCATCTTCACTTTCTCTTTAAATCATAGCACAGTGTGAGATTATGTGTTAAACCTGCATTGGTTTCTTAGTAATTTTTAATGCACACTTTAAAATATCAGCTATCTCTTTGGCATTTCATTATGACATTAAGTAATGTAACAACTGCCTAATTTAATTCTAGTTATTTGGTTTCTTCATTCTGTTTTCATCTTCACTTGTAGGTTCATGTACCAAAGGTATACCCAATAACTGCATGCAGTTATTCTGGCTTCATAATCCAGTTATTCTAGAATTCATGATCGATTATCAAATGGCTTACACATAAAGCAAATTAACTTAGTTTCCATGGTAGAATGCAATATATAACTTCTGTTTCTCAGTTATATTAAAGTTAGTAGTCTAGATGCACCATAGCTTTCGTATTGTATTTCAAAAGTTCTGCCAATAAGCCTTATCTGTTATAGTGCAATTTCTCAGATAATCTGTAGTCCTTAAAAAGACTGTATAAAATAGTTAGCATTAACACACAAAAAATCAGAAGATGGAAATACAAGAGGATAGGTAAATTGAGATGAAGAAAGCAAACTGTGGAATCACAGATGCTTTTCTGAGAAAGGAATATAAGCAGACTTGCTTTCACATGTATGTGATCTGCATTAACGCCAAATGGCATTGTTTTATAAAAGTGAAGATAGTATGAATGAAAATTAACTATTCATAATATCTTAAGATCACCAAGGTTGGAAAAGACCTCCAAGGTCATCCAGTCCGAGCCATCTCCCTACCACCACTATTTCCCCACTAAACCATGTTCCTCAATACCACATCTAAACATTTCTTGAACAGCTCCACTGATGTTGACTCCACCATCTCCCTGGGCAGTCTGTACAAGGCCTGACCACTCTTTCAGAGCTTTTTCTTAATGTTCAGCCTGAATCTCCTCTGGCACAACTTGAGGCCATTTCCTCCAGTCCTATTGCTAATTACATGGGAGAACAGACCAGCCCCCACCTCGCCACAGCCTCTCTCTCAGCAGTTGTAGATAGCAATAAGATCTCCTGTGGTGCTCCTCTTCTCCAGACTGAACAATCCCAGCTCCCTCAGCTGCTCCTCATAAGACTTGTGCTCCAGACCCCTCACCAGCTTTGTTGCCCTTCTCTGAATACGCTGCAGGGCCTCGATGTCTTTCTTGCAGTGAGGGGCTCAAAACTGAGCACACTACTTGAGGTGCAGCTTCACCTGAGCTGAATGCAGAGGCCAATGACTTCCCTGCTCCTGCTGGCAACACTACTTCTGATCCAATCCAGGATGCCACTGGCCTCGTTGGCCACCTGGGCATGCTGCTGGCTCATGTTCAGCCAAGTGTTGACCAGCACCCCCAGATCCATTTCTTCTACACAGTCTTCCAGCCACTCTGCCTCAAGCCCACAGCACTGCTGGGATTTGCTGTGCCCAAGTGCAGGACGTAGTGCTTGGTCTTGCTGAGCTTCATCCCACTGGCCTCAGTCTAGTGGGGATCCTGCCTGACCAGATCCCCGTGATGGGCCACCTTGTAGCTAAGAAATCTGCTTTCCTCTTCATACTGTTATGGTACTTCAACCTTATGTAGATGACAAAAACGAGAGAGGACGTGCTTTTTTAAACTCTGAAGTATAAATACATATGTAATACTAATCCAGAAAATTACTTGAACCTTCCATGAGAGCTTGTGATAGTATTCAATGGGAATATTTGTTTTATTCTGCAAGACTTACATATAGTTACAGCTATCAGAATAGCATTCCTTTTTGTCCACTCCCATTATGCTGTAAGAATAAAGGAACAATTGTACTGGGACAGCAGCTAACTAACCCAGTATCCTTCCTTGGCAACCACTGTAAACCAATACTTAGGGAAGAGATAAGAACTATAAGCAATATTTTTACAAAGTTTTTTCACAGGCTTTCAGAATTGAGTGACAGTATTAGGTTCTGCAGTCAGTAAACCATTATGGATTTCTCTGAGAAACCTTAAAAATTTGTCCAGTTCTCTTGCAGAAAGATCTCAACAAATTGCCTCATTACTGAAACAGCGCATAAAATCCCTTTCCCGTCGCCTCACTATATGTGTCTTTATGCCAAATTTGAAATTGAATTTGCAAGACACTGACTGCTTACTTTTGCTAATAACTTTCTTGCTGCTTAGGTATTAGGCAAGAAACTTGTCTGATAAACTGTAGAGCCCAGGGAGGTTGTGGATGCCCCGTCCTTGGACGTGTTTAAGGCCAGGTTGGACGGGGTCCTGGGCAACCTGATCTGAATGTGTATGTTTGGTGGCCCTGCTAGGCAGGGGGGTTGGAACTACATGATCCTTGGGGTCCCTTCCAACCCGGGTGATTCTGTGATTCTGTGGATATTGACATCGTAGCACACGAGCTAATTTTTCAGTTCACAACATAATACCAGGAGCTCTTTAAGAAAAATAATAAAAAATCTTGGATTTCCTTATCCAGCCTTGTGTTCAAACAAGCAGTCTGCTTAACAGGCCTCAGCAAGCACTTTTTCAGAAATGCTACTGTAAACGCGCAATAAGAGACGAGATCTGCAGTTAAGTTGGTACATTTTGAAAACAGCTCTTTGTTGCTGTTAGAGCTCATTTTTGTAACTTGTATATGGAGTTCAAGAGAAAGTTCACTTATGAAGAAAATAATTTTGTTGTGGAGAATGTGTGCCTTAAGAACACAAGCACTGATCCTGACCTTCAGCCTTATGAAAGTGGTCTTCGAGATAACTGCCTACGCTACAGGAGGCCTTGAAGTTTGGTCTAACATTCTGTGTTTTACTTTGTTGTAAAAAGCACAGATAGATTTGATGCTTGTGTGATAGGTGCTTTGCATCTTGCTGCAGCAATACATAAGGAATTATTGTATACCTTTGAAAACGTGGAAGTTGAAGTCTTTTCTTAAAACTATAGATGGGAACCTGATTCCCCTTCCATCATGACATAGTACGTATTTCTGTGAGAAGACACGTTCCATGGAAAATCAAAACCTTCAGCTCCGAGCTTGCAGCTTTAACTTCTCTGCTTGTCCCAGTATACATTTTACAGATAGCAATGCACAGTGCAAAAAAAAATCTACATTCGTATCTTTAAGCTGGGAACATCAAGGCAGCTTACTGCTATCAGCAGACACGTGGTTTATCTTAAATGTAGCACGTTTCTTGTTTAGAATCATAGTGCACATGCTTGGAACTATCATGGAGATGTCCAGAACTAACAGCCTTGGGACTTCTGAGCAAGTTTTGACTACAGAAAGGGTCTGGAGGTTTTCTGTCTTGGCACTGGCAGCTGTAGGAACTTTGCATGTACTGAAGTTAGGAGGATGCTGCTGGAGGGAGAGGCACTGAGTGGAGCTGCAGGGAGCAATGTATGAAGCTGATTGCAGTTACCAGGGGCAGTTACCTCAGTAAAAAAAAATTTTGTAAGGCAGAATGAGTTACAGCCACTTGTACAGGCACAAGAGATACTAATTTAGGTGTCTTGCTTGCCCTGTGTATTTTTTCTCCCTCCTAATTAAAGCCTGTGTTTCTGCAATCTTCTGCACTATGTTTTTCCTAACCATTTGGATTTGACGGAGGTCTTTAATCTGCAGCAGGACTTCGAAAAAAAGACTATCCGCGGTGTTGTGGATGCACCGACTCCTAAGCAAGCTCAGCGTTCGGCTGTATTTTTGGACAGACGGCAGTAAGACGCGGGCGAGGCCTCGGGACCGCAGGTAGCCGGGTGGGAGCACCGCAGGCGCGCCGCCTGACAGCACGGGTGCGCTCACCGCCCCTGCTCGAAGCCTCGCAGCGTTTCGCTACGCTCCCAACGACTCCCCGAGGCGCTGCTTCACCCCGCGCGAGCCCCACCGCCACAACGTTCATCCGCCGCCGCGCTCCGCGCATGCCCGCGCCACGCACCGCCCCATCCCGGGCGCGATCCCGGCGGCACCCGCGCAGAAGCCTCCTCGGCCCGCCTCCTCGGCCCGCCTCCTCCCCACGCGCGTGCGCAGCGAGGCGAGGCGAGGCGGTGCTGCCGTGCGAAGGGAGGCGGAGCGCCGCGACGGGAAGGGCGGCGCGTGGCGGCGGCGCCTGCTTCCTCCGTCGCGTCTCGGCGGTTGGGGCCGGGCCGGGCGAGCTGCGGCCGGGGCGGCGGCGGCGGGATGACGATGGCGTACTTCGCGGAGAGCTTCTGGGTAGGAAAGCGCCGCGAACCATTCCCGCGGCGAAGCGAGTGGGCGAGCCGGGGGGCGGGCGGGGTGTCCGCCGCTGCCGCGGCAGGCTGCGCTGCGGGGCTGCCCCGGGGACGGTGGTCGGGCCTGGCGAGCGGGCCGGGCGCGGGGGAGGCGGGTGCCGGCGTGCGGCGCGGGGCGGGCGGTGCCGAGCCTTGCCGAGCTCCTCCTCGTACCGCGCTCGGGGGCTGCCGGGCGGGGCCGGGGGGGCGCCTGGCGGGAGACCCCGGGCGGCGGCCCCGGCTCCGGCGTCCCGTCCTCGCCGGCGGTCCCGGACAAAGCCCGCGCCTCCGTCCGCCTCTGTACCGGCGTGTCCGGAGGGACGGCGGGCGGCCCCGTGCGTGACACGGTTTGTCGCTCCGCTCCGTCTATGTACTTAGGGCTCTGAGTGCGTTTCCCTGGGGAAAGCGCGGAGAAAACGTTAAACGATGAGTCGGGATTGTTGCTGAGCACTCCTTCGGAGCTCGGCCGATCCCAAGTCGTTGTGGAACGGGTCTGAAACATCGCGGCCGTTCCCGTGAGCCGTCAGCCTGCTGACGGAGCTGCGGCTCGGCTGCCCGTCGGATTTTACCGTGCGTCTCTGCTGACAGTTGGGGGAAACCGAACAGCAAACGTTTATCGAGACAAAAAAGAAAAAGATTTTAAAAAAGATCTTGTAGATTCATCTGGTTCTGCACGAACAATGGTTGTTCTTAGAGTTTGGAGAATGCTGAGTTCACAAAGCGTACGCTGCGTGGAAATAAAACAGAGCTGCAGCCTGGTCCCTGTGTTGTGTTTGCAGTGTTGTTTAATTCTGACTCTTAAGTTTTGTTCTGTGCAGGATATTAGAATTCAGAAAAGCGATCCATGATGTGCCTTCTTGGTACATGAGTGTGTCAGATGTGAAGTTTTGGTGTGGGAGATTTGTGTTAAACAAATGCGGTGTATTTTCATCTTGGGTAAAAGTAATGTTCAAGTTAATGTAAAAAGTCAACTTTTCATTTGGAAAGCCAGTATTTCCTCCTGAGAATAAACCGCGTGTTTTTGTTCTGTTCTTCCCACTGAAGTAAAATATATGCTACGAATTTTTTTAATCTTTTAACTGTTTCATTGGCAATGGTTCACCTTGGCAGTAAGCAGGTGTGTTAAGCCAGTGAAGACAGTGCCATTCTTATACATTCCTTTCCTCTTTGTACCTTTGCACATGCTGCCAACAAACACAAGGCAGGTGACACCTGCTAGAAGTTTTGCCTTCTCTGTCTGCCTTGTGAAGCCTCTGCCAGCCTTACAGTGCTGGCCAGACACTAGTGTGGGTTTAGAAACCAGTGTCAAAAAAGGAAGGTTTCCTTCTGTTGGCACAGTTTTTTCCCCCCTCCGAAAAATGACAGAAGGCAGGACAAGAAATGTATTCTTGCTTGTTTTGCAGTGATGGCAAAGACAGTAGGCAGGATCCTGAACTTGCAAAACTTGGCTGGGGAATCTTTGTGAAGCTGTTGGCAGTTTTGTGTAGAAAGAAAAGGGAGTGGGGACTTCTGCTTCCTTGCTGATACGGCCAAATATCTTTCAAGAAAAATACAGTAGTGTCTAAATATGCACTTGTTTTAATGTCAAAGGGTGCTGCTATTGTCAGAAACAAGCATAAATACAGGTTTGTGGATGATGAGTGATGAGTCTTGTCTATCTTTTTGGAATGGGTTATTGTTCACAATTGTTACTGCAACATTTTGGAAGATCTTTAGCATGATCTCTGTGTGTTTTGACATGTTGACATGGTGGAAAGGTGAATGTGGAAAGAAAGATGTTAAATTGTACTGGATGCATAGTGACAGAATACACCAAAGAAGAATCCATAAATAGAAAGAGTTCTGCATTGAATTCTGGAAGAATTGTCATCAGTTTCTTGCTTTTTCCTTGGCCTTCTAGGTAACACCAGGCAAAATATTTAACTTCTGTTTTGCTGGTTTGGTCATTGATGTAATGGGATATTATGTTTTCTAAAGCACTGGTGTGAAATAAATCCAAAACACTGTGGAATTGTAGGGTCATTAGGGCTGGAAAAGGCCGCCAAGATCATCCACCAACTCATCCCTACCATGTCTCTCAGTGCTACATCTGCATGGTTCTTGAACGCCTGGGGCAGCCTGTTGGAATGCTTTACCACTCTGAGAAATTTTTCCTAATATCCAACCTGAACCTTGCCTGGCACAACTTGAGGCCATTTCCTCCAGTCCTATTGCTAGTTACATGGGAGAACAGACCAGCCCCCACCTCGCCACAGCCTCTCTCAGCAGTTGTAGATAGCAATAAGATCTCCTGTGGTGCTCCTCTTCTCCAGACTGAACAATCCCAGCTCCCTCAGTTGCTCCTCATAAGACTTGTGCTCCAGACCCCTCACCAGCTTTGTTGCCCTTCTCTGAACACGCTGCAGGGCCTCAATGTCTTGTTGTAGTGAGGGGCCCAAAACTGAACACGGTGTTCAAGTTGTCTCCTCGCTAGTGCCAAGTATGGAGGGAAATCCTTAGTTACTTGGAGTTGTTGTCATCAGTTCACAGCTGAAATGGCACAGTAGAAATGGAGCTCTGGGTCTTGTGCTTTGGAAGGCTCTGTTTCTTATCTTTAAGTTTTTGATATGAGTAGACATAGGAAACCTGAAGTTATTTATTTGGAAAAATGGAGTGCTGTGTGTGTACGTTTTTTGCACGGTATTTAGCTGCTGTCTTCTAAGAACTTGCTAAAAATGTGCTCATTTAAATAAAACAAGTTATAACTTCTTTACTGTAAAGGTCTCGAAGATCATCGTTGGACTTTATGCGTCTCTGCCCACAGCACAGGGTTGGAACTAGGTGATCTTTAAGGTCCCTTCCAACTCAAGCCTTTCTAGGTCTGCATGTGAGTACTACATTTAAAAGCAGATGAGTAGATGTAATTTTATTTTTTAGTGGAGAATGTGAGGAAAATGGACTTTCTCTGGGTGTTTTTGGGCACGTCATGTGCTGGCTGCAGGTGTCTGCTGGTCATTGGGAGATTATTTTCAGGATGTGAGGTTTGGAGGGCTGTACTGTTGCTGCTAGAGTTGTGCTTGCAGAGTGCTGCCCGCTGCAGTTTTCAGGTCAGTTGGGTGCAGTTTGGGGGATTGGGTGGGCTAGTTTGTTTGTGGTATCAGAAATTATAAATGAGTAGTATGGACTATAAATGGCTTTGATTCTTATGACTGAGTTTAAGGCATTCAGGTCACATGGCCAAACATTCCCAACTCCTAATTAGGATGTTGTCATAAAACATTGGGTGCTTGCTGCTGAGTATGCGTTATATCAAAACAGGAATTTGAAGGGAACACTTTCCTGCAGTATTTCCACTATGAATAACTAGGTTTTGTCACTTTGAAAGCTCCTATGCTAAGATAGAAAAATAGAAAGCATTCATTAGAACTGAATTGCTGTTTTATTAACACAGTGTAGGAAGTGTAGCATAAGCTTCAACGTAAGTTTGATTTTTAAATCACCTGATGCAGACTGTAGTCTTATTAATTGTAAGACTATTAAACCATTTCAGGTTAACCAAAATAAGCCATATGTAAGCCAGCCGTACACATCTACTAATTGCTTTAAATTGATTAAACTTATGGAAGCTTTACGTACAGTTGAAGCCTGTCTCTGTGTAATGCTGTGCATGTTAAATTTTCGGGAAGCTATGTGACGTAAAAATGCATGTTTAAATTGGCTTTGACATTCGCCATGTGTTACTTTTTTCAGTTGGTTGTGCTGCCTTTAGCTTTTGAAAATGATTGTGAGGAAGATTCCTCACAACGTGCAAGGGCTGTAATCTTAGCTTTGTGCAGGCTCTTGCTCTGATCAGTGTAGGATGCATTTTCTTGCACACACCTGCAGGCTGTGATTGATACTGAGACTCATCGAGCTTCCATCTGCAGTCCGTTCATGTGTTTATGCTTGGCCTGCAGTTGGGTGCTCAGTTTTCAGGAGCATGGCTGTGCAGTATTTGTGCAATCTCCCCCCCTCTTTGTGTATAGCGTATTTAGCATGTGCTGGGAGTTCTCCATCTTTTTGTCCCGGAAATATTTTTAATCGTCTAGATGTATAGAAGAATGTGTGTCCTCTGTCATATGCATAGAGCTTCTCTGGAGCTGGTCTTCATGTGATTTATTGAAACTAGAAGAATGAAATTGAAATTGCCAGGTCGGTTTTGTGTTCAAGCTTCTCAGAGCACTTCCAACTGAGGGAGATAGGCCACCTGTATCAACACGAGGTGTCTGCTCTTTGGGTGTTTCAGTGCACTTGATTCTGCGTAGCTCTGTCAGGCACTGGGTTGCTCAGTAGCTAACTTTCAGAAGTGTAACACCGTCACATTAATCAGAGGAATATTTTTGTGTATACTAAGTTGCCTAGGTGAAATGTGTGGAACATGTTAATGATTTCAAACTGTGCCAGGCCGTAACTGCTAAAAAGAAGGTAAGAGTTTATCAGAGCAACTAAAATTACCTGGAATTAGGTTGCTTTATGGAGTTGCTCTGTTTCTGTCCTACTCTTTTATTAGTGGATGAAGTCAACAGTGTAAGTGGGCAGACCATAACATATAGCTTATATTTAAGTTGGTGGGTGAAGAGCAGGATTTTTTTGTTGTTAGTATTTGGAATTTTCAATTTAGGATTAGAGCAATGATCGGACAGTCTCTTTTGTTGCAATAAAAGATGTAAATTGATTGCTAAATAGAGTATCTTGTAAGCTGTTGAAGCCATGTCTAGCAGTTGAGACTACTAGATAGTAGTAGTGAAAGTTGTGTGTAGTTTCAGCAAATATAAAGGGTGCTCCAAATGTAATGCAGCCTATTTCATTTTGTTGTCCCACACCATCAGAGGCAGATGTTGGTGGTTTGGCTGGAGAGGTGGAACCTTCCTGACAGTGCCCCAGTACGTGTTGTTGGTGTGTAACAGATGGCAGCAGAGGGGCACTCTGACAGGATGGCGTCTG